GAAATTATTGAATCTAAATGAGATAAATATCAAATGATTTGAAAATTCTATTCTAACTCAAAAAAAAAATGCAAAATTTTAGAAGCCACAAACGGATTTGAACCTCGTACCCTAGGCGTTAAAGATCAAGGTGTTACCCATTCGGCAACTATTCGTTGATTTTTGTTGCATGATAAAATTGGCTATTTAAGCTAACTCAAATTTAAAAATTACTTTTTCGACTTTAAAAAAGTAAAAAATGTTAATAAGTATAATATCATATGTCTTATGAACTTTATTCTATGTCAATGAAATTATATAATATTCATGAAAGTCAGTTTATTCCCCTAATAAAATATTTTAAAATAAAATAAAATACAAAACCTAGAATTTTAATAAAAAATAGCATATTTTTAAATACGGTAGCCTTTTGCGCATAGAAGATAGGTCGTCGGGACAAATTTTTTTTTTTCATTTAGTAGTACATAAAATAAGCTTTAATTTGATATATGTTTAAAGGACGCAGTATTTCCGGAACATTTTCAAAAATTAAGTTGAAAAAGTTAGTTTTTGTAAAAAAGTTGCTATTTTAAATCCCCCCTGTGAGCAGAATAAGTGTTAGATTTTCAAAAAAAAATGATATCAAATGAAAGAAAATTACCTAAGGTTTCAATATAAAGAAATATTATTTTGATTAGTTAATATTTGAAAAAGTTATGGCAGTTTTAAGTACAAAAAACATCGTTATAAAAGGTGATTTTTATCGCAAATATTACATTTTTTTTATAATTTCGACAGCCATTTGCACATAGAAGATAAGGTGTCGGGACAAATTTTTTTTTTTCATTTTATAGTACATAAAAAAAGCTTTAATTTGATATATGTTTAAAGGACGCAGTATTTCCGGAACATTTTCAAAAGTTCAGTTGAAAAAGTTCTATTTTTTATACAATGTTTCAAAGTTTGAACCCCCCCTATATAAGGGGAAATTGTCTAATTTTAATAAAAAGTATGTCAAATGGAAGATGTACTTATAATGTATTTAGAAAAAAAAAAATTGTGCTGATACATGCATTTTTCGAAAAGTTATAGCATTTTTAAGTTGAAAATTAAAAATTGAAAATCGAAAATTTTAACACAAAAATAGTGTTTTTTTAACTACGGCAACCGTTTACATGCAGAAGATAAAGTGTCGGGACAAATTTTTTTTTTTCATTTTATAGTACATAAAATAAGCTTTAATTTGATATATGTTTAAAGGACGCAGTATTTCCGGAACATTTTCAAAAATTAAGTTGAAAAAGTTAGTTTTTGTAAAAAAGTTGCAATTTTAAATCCCCCCCCATGAGCAGGTTAAGTGTTAAATTTTCAAAAAAATTATATCAAATGAAAGGAAAATATCTAAGGTTTTAGTTTAAAAAAAAATTATGTTGATTTGTTGATTTTTGAAAAAGTTATGGAAGTTTTAAGAAAAAAAAGTGAAAAAAATGACAAAATTTGTCGATTTTTAAATTTGTAATTTTTTTGGATATTTCCCCCATTTGCGGGGAACGAGGGAAAATTTTTAAATTTTTAAGGGTAATGTCTTCAACTAGATACAATTTGTGATCTTTTGACGTATTGTTAAAAGAAATCGGTCCAGTGAGAGCTGAGAAAAAGTAGTGACAGACACAAAAAAAAAAATAAACACATCATGGTAAAATTAATACCTTCTCAGCTTCGCATCGAAGCTAAAATGTATGGATCAATAATTATGTGCCCTAAGTATGAGGTGAAGACGAAATACAAGATACAAATACCAGATGTACTCAAAAGGTGCCCTAAGTATGAGGTGAAGACGAAGTGCAACACACAAATACTCTGAAATGTTGAGGAAGAGAGTAGGTAGGTTAAAAAAGAAAGAACAAAAACTTGACTTTATACAGTAAGCCGAATAGCGACAACCGAGTACTAAGACTGATGAACGACACAAGACACTGGAGTTAACTGACCAAGATAGCCAAGTCTTTTGGGTTTTTATAATAATTTGGACTATTGCCAATTTAGCAATAAATGTTAATTGTTAATCACTCTCAAAAAGTGAATGTGCTGTCTGTATTTTTTTATAATAAATTCTCACAATAATGGTAACGTGACACCATCACACTTCAATGTTAGTAAGAATTGTCTATATATCCAGGGAATAATGTTTATGATATGATAACATTTTTGAAATGAAGATTAAAATCTATAAATTTAGGCATATACTTATTTAAATTTTTTTAAATAGTTTATAACTATTTAATTTTAATTTGTGATTGAATGATTTAATCAAAAGAAGAATTAAACAAATTAATAATAATTAATAGATAAATTGGTTTAACTTATTTAAAAATTGTGAATTTTGTTTAAATTCAGCAATAAATTATTAATACTTTTAAATAATTATTTTCTAACTAGATTTATTTGTATAACACTCATAACTATTTAGTTTATATTATCGAATGATTTTATCAGAAGAAGAATCTAATACAATAATTAATAGATAAATAAGTTTAACTTTACTCCAGAAATAGTGAAATTTGTGTAAAAATAATCAGTAATAAACATAATACTTTTATTTAATTATTTTCTAAGATTACATTTATTTGTTAATATTTTTTAACTTATATGAAAATAATTAAAATAATAAATAAAAATAATTAGAAAATGTATTTTTATACATTTTTTATCATTATTTTAGAACATCTTGTTTTGTATAATTTTTTTAATTATCACTAGATTACCCTAAAGATTTTTTCTAAATCAAATAATAAAATATAAAACTATTTTTAACACCATAATAATTTGTATGTTCATATTTATACAAAGGAACTAACTCCAGAGACTACTATGTATCATTTAAACATACACCAAAAGGTTGAGTTTATTAACTATATAGAAAGGAACAGATCTAATTGACAAAACCTATAACATTTGATACCATTAATATATTTTTTTAAATAATTTATGTAGTCTTAAACTATGTTGAAATTATATTTTGGAGTATGTTATAATATACACCAGAAAGAGCTGTACCCACCTACACTAAATAATGAATCCATGTATTAAAATGCTTGTAACTCAATAATTAACTATTCTAAAATTTTTATAGGTCCATTAATTACTTTTCTAAGAAAAATTCTAAAAACTAGTTACTTCTAAAGTTTAAAAAACTATGATAAAAAAAAATGTTTCATTATTTAAATTATATAAAAAATATGAGTTTACAAATACATAAATTATTAAAAAAAAAAAATTTAACTTATGATTTTAAAATTGTGACTGGTATTAATAAAATTATTTTTAATATTTTTTACAAAATTAATAATTTTACTGATGATGAATGTATTTTATGTGCTGATGAGATGGCTTTAAAATCTAATTAATATTATAGGTTACAAAAAGGTGGTATTATTGGATTTCATGAAACTAACAAAATTAAAACTTATTCTGTTGTGAAATTTTATTTTATTCTAATGATAAGAGGCATTAATTTTAATTGGAAGCAGCCAATAGGTTATTACATAATGTCAAGCAGTTGTACCGAATTTAGACTACAAGATATTATTTTTACAACAATTCAAAAACTTTTTCAATTTGGATTAAACGTCAAAGCTTTTTTTACAGATATTGGCTCTAATTTTATTAGTTTTAATAATACACTTAATTTAATTCTGGCCTGTCCTTTTTTTTGTTGATGAAAAAAAATATATTTATATTCAAATTTACTAAAATCTACAAGAAATATGTTTTGTTGTATCATTTTTCATATAATAATAATTTAATAGGAAAAAAATCATTTAATTTCTTTTTATGAACAAGATTCTAAGTGTAATTTAAAAATGGCCTCTAAATTAACTCATACTCATATTTTTCTGGCCCATTTGAAAAAATGAAATTTTTGGCAGCTCAAGTATTCAGCAAAAGTGTTGCAGCTGGAATGGAGACATATCTAGCCACCAAAAATTACATTCTTTTTCAATTCTTCTAAACAACCGTCTTCAAAAATTTTAAATTAACTTTTGAACAAGATAATCATTTAATATTAATGTTTAATTTTTTTTCTAAGTAAAAAGTAATTAATATAAGTGGTTATGATGTTACAAATCATATGAAATTTATTAAAGGTTGGTTAGTCTCCATATCTGGTTTGGTTTTACTAGAAGGATTTAAAATTGACCAAATCAACAGTTCAACAATAAACTTACGTGTTTTACACTGGAAAAAATAACCAAGATTGTCTTGAAAACTTATTTTGTACTTTTTGACAGCAAAATGGAAACAATATAAATTCAACACCGTATCAGTTTAAAAAAAAATAATTTTACTTAATTACTTTCAACATTCAAAAAATGCTAATTATGTTTGTAATTTAGATTAAATATTGACTCAAATTCCAATTCAATCCAGTTTATATGTTAACAAAAATTATTCAAATAATTCTCCTTTTCAATTCAAGAAACCACCAGCCTTTTTTATTGGGCTAGTTGATTATAGAGATTTTAAAATTCCAGATCAAAATTCATTCATTTATATTTGCAGTTATATTATGAAATATTGTTAAATTCAACATTCTTGTGAAATATGTACTGAATTTGCTATAAGTCAAAATAAATTAGATACCCACACAGCAATTTAATGTTAAAGTAATATTGTTATAAAATTAATTTTATAATAATAACATTAGTTTAATTTTAAGAGGTTATTAATTTTGATTACAGAAACATTATAACAATATTACCCTATAGTTATTTGGCCACCGAAATAATGTTGTATCAATGAACAAATAAAAATATTGCATCAATAATGTTATTATTTAACATTTAAAAAATAATATTGGTGTTAAGTTATTATTATATTTCCCTCAAATTGCTGTAATATTATATGGTCATATAACATTTTTGCAATATTGTAGTATTATTATAATAGGATACCAATTTGAAAAAAAAAACTTTTTTTAATAAGCAATATAAAATTATATTTATGTATTTATATAAAATAATCATTAAACTGTATTAGTTTTAAAACAACCTCATAATAATGCGGTACAGCATATTTATAAATTTAAAAACATAATAATTGGTTTTAAATGGCTAAAATTAATAATCTTAACATATTCATTAAGAAAGCAACATTAAAATAATTGATTTTAAACAATTCAAATTAAAATCTTAACACATTCATAATTAAAAAAAAAAAATTTTAATTGGTTTAAATTATTAAAAATGAAACATAATTCTTTATTTTATAATGTAAATAATTCAAGAACGGAATATAAAACTACTTAAAATTTTTTTAGTATTATTTGGCTGATCTTTTTTCACGATTTATTATTTGGAAACTTGCATGAGCTAACCACACACTAATTTCACAGTCAATTTCTTTTTCAGGAACCATTTCATACTTGACATTAGTCCTTATTATATCTGAAAAGTCATTGATTTATAGATAGATGTGTTAAACTTGAATAATTACAAAACAATTAAATAATTTTTTATTTATTTTTATAAAATTATATAAAAAAAAAAATGTTTATTTTCCTCTCTTTAGTTTAGTTTAACTTTAAGACTACTTTTTAGTTGCATTGCTCTTTTTATAATAGGCTTTAAAACAAAGCTTTTAATAACATGTTTATCAGTTGTATTAATACCTTTTATCAAATGATATGATAGTAAATCAGCAAATCTTTGTTTCTTTTTAAAACCATAAGTTGAGAATTGAACTAATACTGAATCATGAAACATTTTTGTCATAATACGCCTCACTGATTCTCCAAGACTTTTGGCAGTTGTGAGCAACAATAATTTTCTTATCTAGAAAAACAAAAATTGTATTTTTTTTAATATATGATATATTTAATTAAAAAAAAAAAGCATAATAGGGATTTTGTAAAATGGAGTTAAGGCATTTTTAGATTTTTATAATAATATCTCATTTTATAAATCAAATATATTGATTGATATCTAACAGTGATTAAACTAACTTTCATGAAAACATTTTTGGTTTTAATGCTCAATAGGACAGCAGCACCTAGAAATCAAGATTTTGTAGTTTTTTTTTCATCAAAGAGTACATTGTATTAGCTTTAATTTGATTTAAAGAAGTAGGTTTATAAAAGTCTAGTTTTTTGGAACATTATCAAACACTGAAAAGATTAACATTTGTTATGGTAATTTTGTACCCTCTCAATACTTTGATTAATGATAGGATTTTTTTTAAAAAGCTATACATTATAAGATGCTTGATGATTTATAAATTAATAAATATTTCATTAATAATAAATAAAAGAAACCAATAAATATATAAATATCATAATTAATTTGGAATAAATCTGCTTTTTGGTTCATTAAATATCAGAATTATCCTGTATTTTACAATAACTGAATATTGCTTTTGTAAATTCATGAGAATTTTTTTTAACACTATTATAAATAACAGTTTGTTAATTTAAGTAAAATCAATTAGATAATTTTTTTCGTTGTGTAATAATAATATTAACTATTATACAACAATTAATATAAAATGGAACTATGAATTATAATTCATTTTTATTATATTGTTTTAAAGTTTATGAAAACTAAGAAAAATTGTTATTTGCAAATTTACTAATGCCTCATAAAGATTTTTATAATTACTTATATAAATTAGAAACCATTTTTATAGAAAGTTTTCTTATTTTATCTGTTGAAAAAGGATTTGGTAATAAACTTAAATTACAAATACTTAATATTATCTATGAACATCAATGTACTAAGTTTGACAATATAATATAATGTCTTTTTAAATTTTGTATTTGTTTCAGGATTTATTCTACAGTAAAATTTCTAAATAGAAATTTAGTATCTGAAAAAAAAGAATAATAAATTAGAAATTATTCAGTATTTATAAATTAATTTTTTTTTTCATTAACGCATACATTTTTTAAATTCATAATTAACTTTTAATTTTTTATATTATTAAATTTAAAACTAAACTATTTTTCTAGGTATATGGAATGGTTTTTACATTGAGGACTATGTTGTTGGAAAATTCAGTAAAACTGTATCATACTAATAGTGTACATAATTTTTTATATTTTGTATTGTTTTATTTTTTTTACCAATATATATTTTTTATTAATCATGAAATTATTAAAAAAATATATATTTTTATAAATAAAACATGAATTTAAGTAAACAAAATTTGTTCGAATATTATAAAATACCTTATTTGAACTTTAAAAATTTCCTATCGAGAATGAATAAATAATGTATAATATACTTGATTGATATAAATTCACTTCAATTTACTTAATTGTAAACAAATAACAGCAAGTACATCCAGAAAAGTTAAAATTTAATTTAGATTGTACATCATAATGACAATCCAAGTGTACTTACCAAACATTACAACTTCATATATTATACATAACANTACTTACCAAACATTACAGCTTCATATATTATACATAACACTAATTAAAGGTTGAAAAAAAATAATAGCAATAAACTTTACATAAAACTTTCATACAAATTAAACACAAAATTTATAATGATAGATAATGTTTAAAAAGACATTTTTATTAAGACAAATCGTTATTTAAAAAAAGTAAATACCCGAACAGTTATAATTAATTAGATAAGTGAACAATCTGTTTTCACCAGCTGTGCAAAAGAGTGGTAGTATTGACGAGGATTTAAGACACAGAATTAAGTGCGGAAGGTTGAAGTAGAGAAAAGCGCCTGGCGTCTTTATAGCTGATGTAGGAGATCGTGTCAAGTGGAAGTTTGGGATAAGGGTGGCAGATCCCAAGTAGTTGGGATTAAGGTGAGGAAGAAGAAGAACAATCTGTTTTCATATAGTCTGTGGCTATACCCATAATAACAGCAAAATTTAGAGACAATGATTCTTTATCAGAAAATATAATCTATTCTAAAAAGATAATTAAGAAAAGAGATAAATAAAAAAGTAATTTATTTCTTCATTGGAACCTTTATTTGGTGATGATTTATAAGATAAGTTATCTAAAATGAATTTTATGTAATATACTTTCCTTAATATTATTTGAATGACAAAATCTGAAAATCTGTGTTATATTTAAATAATTAATTAAAATGAATATTTTTTTCTATTTTTAAAATTGTGTATTCTAGGTTTCAGGAATTTGGCACTTCAATTTTTTTATTTACTTATCTTATTTAGAGAAAATATATTTTTGGTGGGAGGGGGGTGGCATAAGATGTGTGATAATTAATTTTATAATTATCTGTAATAAAATTTATTAAAATTAAAAAAACTGTTTATGTTTTATAATACATTGGATATACCTATCTTTTGGTATATTTTTTTGTAAACTGACACTTAACCTGCCCACAGAGGGGGATTTAAAATGACAACTTTTTCACAAAAAATTAACTTTTTCAACCTAACTTTTGAAAGAGTTCCAGAAAGTCTGACACTTTTATATATATCTTAAATTAAAGCTTCTGTAATATACTTTAATAATAAAAAAAAAAATTTCTGACTTTATTTTGTCTTCACTTTGAAAATGGCTACCAAATGATATTTTTGTATGAAAATTATCGATTTTCTATTTTTAACTTTATAATGCAATAACTTTTTGAAAAATGTATGGATCAATACAATTTTTTATGAGAAATAATATTTATATCCCTTTTTCATTCGACATACTTTATCTTAATCAGGATATTAATAAGGAAATAGTAGATCATGTAGCTTTTGTAATAATCTACCAAATTTTTAATATTAAACACCATCTACGGATTTGCATCGAAGCGTTTTATATGATAGTGATTTTAATCACTGTCAGATATAATTATACTTGACCCAACTATGTCACGTCACCACTGTGCTGCGACCCCCCCGTGATGGGTTTTTTAGATATTAATTTATGAAAATCGCGAACATATTTAGAATACAAAACAAAATAGAAAATATATTGAATTAAAAAAGATTGGTAATCATTATTATTATTTGAAGTTACTTAAATTACTTCTTAGCTAGTTCAGAATTTTGTTTATTATGTAAATTATAGAATTTTATGTATTAAAAAATATCATAACACTATACTTTTAGGTGGGACATAATATGGCTAATCCTTTAATTCGATAGCATAATTGTCTACCACATAAGTGATAAATGTTTAATTTCAAAATTTTATAGGAATGGTATTTTAATCAAAACAATTTTTCCCCTAGAATTTTTAAAAGTGGGTTCTTAAGTGTCTAAATGTCTATACCTTTTTTAATACATAATTAGAATATAAATTGATAGAAAATTTAAAATAATATACAAAAATAAATTATGGCTAAAAATCTTAATAACAAAATTAATCTTGAATAATGTGACGGTTATGCTGTTGAATATTTCATACATTATTATATTATATAGTGGTAGTGAAGGTAACGATGGCGTCAGCAAGTGTTTTTCTTGCAAAAGGTCGAAATTTTAAAACGCTCGCGAGTGAGTGACAAAAATTTTTGGTTCTATGCTAAAAATTTTGCGGGTGTCTAGTACTGAGTAGTTCTGTTAAAAAAATTTTGTTTACAAATTTGAGCACTGTAAGTAATTTTCTTGAAAAAGCGTTTTTATTCTTGTTGCATTATTTATAAGATAGTGGAGGTAAAGGTAGATATGTGGAGGTAAATCGACTTAATAATCAACGCGATATCACAACTCATGATAGTTAATAATCACAATTTTATCATTATTTAATAGTTATCTTGATGAATTTTGGCTTAATGTAAAGTTAGTAGCTGTGACTATACTTAAAAATTCAAAATGGACAAACAGGATGGTAGTCAAACCCAGCGGCTGACAAATGCTGATTTTCGACGTTTGCTTATGACCCCCAGGGTATCGCAACCCTCGAGTACCCCTGCAGTCGCTAACCCAGATGGAAGTTCCACAAAAACACCATCGGGTGCTAAATTCGAATCAACCGGTTCCAATGATAAAGCGGAACTCAGGAGAAAAAAAAAGATTTTCTATGCCAAACTTAAGAAACAAGAGGAAAATAAAATGGCTGAATTGGCGGAGAAGTATCGAGACAGAGCAAAAGAAAGAAGAGTGGGTTCCAATCCAGATTACCAGTCACAGGATCCGGTAGCTGTAGCCAGTGGTTATAGGGCAGTGGCACCCGATATAAAATCTGGCATGGACGCTGCTGAAAGAAGGCGTCAAATGATTCAAGAGTCTAAATTCTTGGGTGGTGATATGGAACATACTCACTTGGTAAAAGGTTTGGATTATGCACTGCTCCAAAAAGTTAAGAGTGAAATAGTAGCTAAAGAAAACGAACAAGAGACTGAAATGGAACAATTAGTATCTAATAAACCATCTAAGGAGAAACCAAAAGAAGAAGATGAAATGCAATTTAAAACACGATTAGGAAGAAATGTATACAGGTATAAATTATAATGTTATTGATTTAAGAAAAATATTTAAGACTGAATAATCTCTCGCCATGCATGTAGGTTATTAACAGGGTCAAACTTATGGGTGACAGGGGTAAACTTACATCAGTAAGTAAAATAAATTTTTCATTAGTCAATCTTGGTTACTCATTAAAATAATTATTTTGCAACCCATACATTTAATTTACTATTATTGATGTATCTTATAAGTTATGGAAAAATCATTTAAAATGTTTTATTATGTTAAAGCCTTATATTTAATATAAATAATTTTAACTTTATAATGAAGACTTTATAAACATTTCTCATAATATAATAATAAATATATATATATTTTATTTAGGAAATATTAAGAATTGACATGCTTCAGATACAAATGTTGGGTGAGGTATTTTTTAGGGTTACATAATAGAGTAGAATAAACTAGATAACATTTATAAAATATTTCAATATAGTACAATACAAACTTATAAATATACAAAAATCTGTTACCTCAAATTTTGGCTGATAATTATAAATTAACATATAGAAATAATTATATAGTTATGTATATTTATAGAGTTGCTTTATGTGAAAATGAGTTACGACGCAATCCTTTATTTGCACCTGGTCGTATGGCATATATAATTGATTTATCAGAAGATATAACTGACACAGATATACCTACAACACTGATCCGTAGTAAATCTGATGTACCCAGTATGGATGATAGACCAACATTGACCACTAATGACATAGTTATTAACAAATTAGCACAGATACTCTCATACTTACGTACAGGACCTAAACACTTGAAAAAATCTAAACGGCGAGACAAACAAGCTTTTGATGATAATATTTATCCAGAATTACCTGATTATGAACCAGCTCAAAGAAATCACCATCAAAAACGATCAGAAGAATCTTCTAACACTAAAAAACAGTCTAGTTATTTTAATAGTTCCAAAGATGAAGAAAAAGAAATTGAAAGAGAAAACCATAAAAGAAATGAGATGGGTTGGGTAAGTTTTATAGTTATAGTAAAAGAAAAAATCATATTGGTTTTATTCTGCTGTGCGTTTTTTGTGAAAAATTCTCTTTCAATTTTGTAATAAAGTGAAATGTCCAAAAAATTGATAGTTGTTATAAAATATTCAATGTCGATATTTTAAGTTTATACATAATAGTTAAATAACTTTTGAAAACTGGACAAATGAATGCAGAATTTTTATTATGATAATACTTCAACCTTATCAAAAATATATTTGTTGAAAAATCAATCATTAATCAAGGTTGGGACTTAGTTTTCGTTGTTAAAGATGGTGGCAAAACATGCCTATGCGTTTAGAATTATAGATTCATTGTGTGCATCTTCCACAGAATTAGATTAATTTTGGTTTCTTCACATTAGTGTCTCCACCATAGTATTTATGTCATTATTTATATATCTAACACAATTGGATTATTTTTGTTCATGATATGACAAAAAATCACTAATAAATCTAGTTGAAGCTAAGACCTACATAATTTTTGTTTATTGTAATATATGATTTTAAAAGAAAAAACGTTCTAGTAATTTAACATTTTAACTCAAAAATCATGTAATTTTTGGTAAATATGAAACATTTCTTTCAAATACATATTCAAAAGATTTACCACAGTAATTTTAATCACTGTCACATATCAATTAAAACTAATCTGTGTTTTGAGAGTATCTTGACTCCACTATGCTCAATCCTGACTGTACTTAACATTCTTTTAATTTAATTTTGATTGTTTTCTTAATAATTTTTTGTGTTATCAAACATTCCAAGTTTTTAATGAAGTTCAAAATAATTTTGTTTACTATTAAATGTTAAAAAATATTTTTAAGAAATTTTGAAATAATTTTTGTAAAATTTTATTGTGGCTATGATAAAACTTGGATTAAAAAAAAAAATATTTTGATAATTTAAAAATTCTTCCTTGGTGTGGTATGAGGTTTATTGATTGGGCCCAAATTATCCATTAATTTTATTTTTAAAGAAAAAAATATATACATGGTACATGACAAATTATACCACTGGTATATTTGGTTGATATAATGCTTCGTTATTACTATTTTTCAGTATATACAAAGTAATTATTTTGACACTATCCACCCCATTTATCTGTTATAAAATATGTTTAATGTTCATCTCTTATACCTGATAAGGGTGTTAACTTAAGCTGATACATGTATCTAATAAAAGCTAAAAAAAATTAAAAATTAATTATTTTAAGAGAAATTGATTGGCATGTGTTAAAAGAATATTTTTTGTTATCTGATGTTTTAAATAGACTATCTGTGTAATTGATTATTTGATTAATCGATTAAATAGATTATTTTATTACTATTGAATTGATTTTAATACTATAAAAATAGTTTGTCAATATAAGATCAGCATAACATATTAATAATAAAATATTTTTATTTTTTTAAACTGAATTATTTAGTTTTCGTAGAACTGATTGATACAACAATAGAACTCTTAAGGTACAACTTTAGTTAAAGTGCCTCCAATTTTACATAATTTAAAAAAATTGGTGGGATAAAGCCCCTGTATGCCGAAACCAGCTCGAGTGCTGACATCAGGTCTAACAGCTCGCCATGCTGATTGTTGTCAGCCGATTCCCACACCGAGGAGTGGGTGTTAAAATCCTAGACCACGAGTCCTACGTGTATTTAATAAAAGCCAAAAAAAAATTACAAAATAATTATTATTTTAAGAGAAATCGTTTGGCAATCGATAAAAAATTATTTTGTATATCTGGTGTTTTTAAATAGACTATCAGTGTATTTGATCATTCAATTAATCGGGTATATAGATTATATAGGTTAAGGTCAAGATCAGTTTGTCGATATAAGTTTTATAAAATTTTATAAATTAACAATCAACTTTAATGTATTGGTGTCAGTTTTTTTGACAATACAATCTTTGAACTGATATAATAAAATAATCATGTAGTTTGATTAAATTATCAGATACTACTATAGGATGTATCTTATAGACACTATAAGACTCTTTACAGATATACAATATACCTATATTTTTCATACATTACTATAAGTAATATTTAATTATATGATTAAATAAAATTATTGTATTAATTATTCCACATCAGATCAAATATTGGATTGTGAAAAAACAATACTAATATATAAAGTATTAGTTTGAATATCAGCTCACTATTGGTATTGATCTCTTCCACTCTATATATATATATGTATATTATATATATATTTTTTCCATTTATATTTTATGTTTTTGTTGGTTGATAAATTAAATATTTTTAAATATTTAGGAAACTCTCAGCAAAGCAACATTTCAACGTAAAAACCAGACTGGTTTATTGTCTCGTTTAGCTGCAGAACCAACAGGTTATGCAGAATGCTATCCTGGCTTGGATGAAATGCATGATGCTATAGAAGATTCTGACGATGAGGCTGATTATACAAAAATGGATCTTGGTAATAAAAAAGGCCCTGTTGGTAGATGGGACTTTGATACTGCTGAAGAGTATGGTACTTATATGAGCAATAAGGAAGTATTACCAAAAGCTGCGTTCCAGTATGGTGTAAAAATGACTGATGGTAGAAGAACCCGAAAGCACAATAAAGAAAAAAATGAAAAAGCAGAGCTCGACCGTGAATGGAACAAAATACAAAACATAATACAAAAAAGGAAAGTACCCACAGCCGGTAAAGAAGAAGGATCTTCTTTTAAAGTCCCCAAGTATTAAATAAATGTATCATTCATTTTTTGAAACATTTTGATTAGTTTATAATAATTTTACAACTGTAGTTCTCACAAATAAAAATAAATGTTTTTATTTTCATTGATGTTTTTTATGAAGTATTAAATACTCAAATATTCATCCAGAGAGGTATATTTTATTAAAGGAAATTTGTTAAACATTAAGTAAAATTTTTACCATTTTACTAATAAACAACATAATAAACATAATTTTTGTTCTTTGATTAAATTGTAACTTTAACAATGACTGTCTGAATTTTATTTTTTTGAAAATATTTTTCATTTACCAATGTATTTTTTCTAATTTTCCAAAAATTCTACATTAAATTAAAGCTAATAGNTTACCAATGTATTTTTTCTAATTTTCCAAAAATTCTACATTAAATTAAAGCTAATAGAATGTATAATATAATAATAAAAATAGATAACTTTTAGTAAAAGTATCCAATTTTGTCATATTTTGCATAGTAACACAATATATTATATTCCATTACTATGTAATGTTATATATTAATATATTATAATTTTAGCACCCTCAAGATTTTGACATAATATGCACCTATAGTTTTAAAATAAAAAAGCGAGTAGAGAAATTCATTTTTTTTAACTATATGAACATTTAAGGAAATTTTTATTAACACAATTACAGTTAATAAATCTTTTGTATATTTATTTTAAAATTATTTTTAATTAAGTAAACGTTTCTTTAATTCATATAAAAAATATTTAAGTGTTAATTTTTTGGAAATTTGATTTTTTTTTTTTGATAAAGAACTTAATAAATTAAAAATCATTTTATTAATATTTGTTTTTTATCAAGTTTTATTTTATGATTTGTCATAATAAAGATTATGTATTTGGATCTTTATAAATTAAATTAGTTTTTTATTGTGTCATCGTTGTTAATAATTGAACATTGTAGTCTTCTTTGATTTCTAAGTCGATTGACTAATTAAATATTATTAACTTACTGCTAAATTTAACAAGTTAAGATTGTATTTATTGAGTTCAATCATTTTTTTTGAACTAGTTACTTAAATTTGTTATTACACGTCATAGGTTTGCAACTAAATATTAGTCAAGAGTAATCCAGGTGTAGTAAAGATTATTTTATGTGTAATCTTCAAGAAAATTTAATTAAATTCTATAAAATAGGTACTATTTATTGCTAAATAAATGGGTGGAATCTTATACGCTCATTAAATTTCTCCAAGTAAAAATCAGTTCAACATCAAAAAGAAATTTTTGAATGATAAAACGTTCAAAAATTAGGTTTTTTGTTTATAATTATATCTTTAGGATATAAAATTTCTGTCACAATTAACAATAATAAAATACATTTATATAAAAAATAAATAAATATTGCACAAAAATAATACAAATAATAATTAAACAACAATACGAATATTATAGTTAAGAAAACAAAATTTGTTGTATAAAAATAAGTCAAATTTACTACATTACGATAATTGTTCAAACTTGAATATAAAATTCAAAACATTTTAAAAATACAGTGACGATTATTGTAATCAAATGAGATTGCTTAAAATTTATGCAAAATTAAATCAAGCGAAAATAATTTTTTTATAGGATAATGAATAATTATTCAAATATTATTCTTACTAACATATTTTTATCAATTAAATTAAATTGAAAGGAATTCTATCGCAAAAAGAATATTTGCATGTTTTATACTTAACTCCAATACATACATTTCAAACAAAGGCGACGGTTCTCGTTTAGTTTAATGGTGGTGTTACATAGCCATTTGTTTCCACCTCATCTCCACTGTCCGATTCGAACGTATCAAAGGCTTCCAGGTTCGCTTTGGCGTCGTAGAATTCTTCAATTGGTATTTGATTTTTGCCACCTCCAGATGGCCACTGACTTTTTTTTTCGTTGTCGCCGTCATCCGAGTCGTCGCTATCGTTCTCTTCGTCTTCGTCGTCAGCCGCTTCTTCATTAACCGATTCATCATGGTCTACCGTTAAACCTTCTTGATTATCACTATCGATACAATCGTCATCAGCATTTTCTTTTTCGTCCTCATCCGAAGAAGTAAGCAGATCGATTACTTCATCAGATTGTTCATCCGTCGATTGGTCGGCATCTTCTTCGTCTGTACACTCTTCGTCCAAATTTTCCGGAGTGTCGTCCCGGTTTTCAGACGCAGTTAGGTCAATGCTCGCTGATTTGTTTTGTTTCGTAGATTCGTCTTTATTATGTTCCACAGAATCGACCAGTACTGTTTCAACTTGTTTAACAGACGTTTTATGCTCGCCAATTTCAGTTTGTTGAAACTCTCGATTCTGACGTATTCTTACGCTGTTATTGCCGTCACAGGTTTTACTTTGGCCACTGTTGTTGGCTTTACTATCTTCACTGTCGTCGGAAAGTTCTATTATAACTTGTGGTTCTCTGGTGACTGCATTAATTCTGGCTACGTCTGACGCCGTCGCGGAACGTTGAAGCTGCCGTATTCGGTCGACGGTTGACGGTAAGTATGTTTCCTGGGTTTCAAAAAGGTTGTCGACTTTTTTCTGGTCTACATTAAGTTTGGAATTAGAAGAGAACTGGCGAGTCGCCTCAGTAGCGCTTTGATAACGGTTTCCATACTGCATCTTTGGCAGATTAAGTTCAGGACGTTCGACTGATGGACAAGGGAACAAGTTCGTACGAACATTAACGCCAGAGAGTGGATTAGAACGGGCATTAAAAACTGGTCTGACGTTCGAATTAACCGGAGACGTATCTAAACGGCATGGTTTGCCAAAAATGCGTGGTGACTCAAGGGTTTGGAGATCCCCGAATGAACTATTTGATTTGAAAGTTTGGTGGTGGGCATATCCGTAAGATTTGACAGGGGTACGCGGACGAGGTCCCGCGTACGTGAGCTGCCGGGGGTCGTTCAGTGGTACGGCAGGTTGGATTGGATTTATACAAGTTGCGTAGACGGGCTTCGGGCGGAGCGGTTGTGGACGTCCAAATCCATGACCGTCGGACTTTTCTGTCGGTGGATTCAGACCAAACTCTACTGATTGATTGTGCTCAGATCGTTGACTCTGTTTAAGGACCAAACGTTCGGGTAGGTCCATACTCAAGTCTTCTAGTTGATTGACATGTGGTGTTTCGAAAGAATTGCATTGTAGTTTTTCGAATTGATTGACAAACGGTTTTTTGAAAACTTTGTCAAACGGTTCGAGTTTATTTTCCACGGACGACTCCGGTAATTGTTTGTTTATATCGCTGCTAAATTCTTCAATAGGGGTGCATCCGTTTGACTTAATATCATCAAGATCGGTCTCATCCATTGGTTCTATCTTGGGTATCAATAAAGGCATAGGTATTTTCTTCTTGCCCCGACCGTTGGCTTGTGAACCACTGTCGATTCGGCGACGCTTGGTCGCTGGCCGTTTTGTGGCCATGGTGGAGCTTTTCCACATACCCGGGGGACTGTAGACGCGGCGCAGGTTGTAACGCCCACCTCCATCGCTCCTACACCAATTGAGCGATTCATCCAACTGCTCTTCGAGTTTAATTCTCTTGGCGGTCGGATTTGAGGAAGAGGACCAGGACTTGCGCGCTGTCTTTTTCGTTTCGGGTTTGGGCATTTAAAATAGATTACGTTAAATATTTGAAAAATAAAAATTAGATAATTACCAAACGTGAGAGGACTAATGTTGGATGTCTTCAATAGTTTTATGTTTTTAATTGTTGATGATTTTATAAGACTTGACGGCGATTGTATGGTTCGTTTGCGAAGCAACACTCTAACGACAAAAAACGCTATCGCGTTGAAAAAATATTATTTATAAAAATGTATTTGAAACAAAAACTAAAACAAATATTCGACTGAAAGCGTTACGTGTTTAGAAATCTGTACTGAAATCGCCGGTCGTTTATACGAATACGTTCAATTGCCATAGATATTAGTTTTTTTGATAGTTTAAGTTTTATCAAATAATTTCGATAACGTTGCGCTTTGATCAACGGTGTTTTATTAACCGCGTCGATCATTGAAACTTTTAATCAAACGTTTTGTGTAATATTTATTGTAATTTCAAGATATTGATTATGACACACAAAAAGATCGAAATAAAAATCTAAAAAAATTTAAAAATGTGCTATTAAAATTAGACGTGAATTTTTTTCATTTTAATCTAAGTTTTAATTTTATGGATGTGCCCTCTGTTGGTAGAAATCAAAACTATGACACAGAATCTAAAATTATCCTATTGCTAAAAAATTGACTATGATATCAAACTATGTTTTCATTAATATTCGTATAATTTTAATATTGAAAGAGTTTTGCATAAAAACGTTGAATTTACATTTTTTAATAAAAAGTTCAAATCAAATGCAACTATAATTTCATGAGTTCAAAAATAACCTTTAAAATAGAATCTAAAAAATACCACTTGTATCCTTTGAAAAAAAAAAAAATTTGAAAAGTAGTATATAATACATTATATTATATATATTTTTTTAAATCGGACCATTTCTCTATATACGGGGGAGTTCAAATCTAAAAAATGTATATAGAAAGTAGAACTTTTTCAACTTGACTTTTGAAAGTGTTCCGGAAAGTCTGACACTTTAGTATGTATCTTAAATTAAAGCTTATGGAATATACTTTATTGTAGAAAAAAAAAATTTCGGACTTTATTTTGTCTTCATGGTGAAAACAGACATCAAAGTTAAAAAAAAAAATACGTTTTTTATAAAAAATTCTGTTTTATATTTTTAACTGTATAATGGTATAACTTTTTAAAAAATGTATGGATCAATATACATTTTTGTATAGATGCATGATGTCTTAGCCTTTTATTGGGTATATTTTTTTTATAAATATGACCCTTTACCTGCCTACAAGGGGGGATTTAAAATGACAACTTTTTCACAAAAAATTAAATGATTCAACTTAACTTTTGAAAGTGTTCCGGAAAGTATGAAACTTTTATAGACATCTTAAATTGAAGCTAATGTAATGTCTTTATTATAGAAAAAAATAATTTCGGACTTTATTTGTCTTCATCCTGAAAATAGCTACCGAATGCTATTTTTCTGTGAAAATACTGGATTTTATTATTTACATTTTACATCAATACAATTTTTTTATGAGAAATAATATTTATATCCCTCTTTTATTCGACTTATTTTATCTTAATCAGGATAGAAATAAGGAAATAGCACATCATGTAGCTTTTGGAATAATCCACCAATTTTTTAAAACTAAACACTATCTAAAGATTTGCATTGAAGCGTTTTTTATGATAATGATTTTAATCACTGTCAGATATCATTATACTTGACCTAACTATGCAATGTCACCACAATAAATTTGTAATTTTTTTGGAAATTTCCCCCATTTACGGATAACGAGGGAAATTTTTTCAATTTTCTAGGGTAATGTCTTCGACTAGTTACGATTTGTGATCTTTTGACGTATCGTTGAAAGAAATCGGTTCGGAGAGAGCTGAGAAAAAATGGTAACAAACACAAAAAAAAACACATCATAGTAAAATTAATATCTTCTCAGCTTCGCATCGAAGCTAATATTTATATTCATAAAGAAATTTGTTCAAATACTTTTTTGTCTTATGAGTATGATTTCTCACAGAGGATTAATCTTTTAGAAAAAGAATTAATTCACTTTGTACTGAGATGGAAAACTCACACGATAAAAATGTGCTGCACAAGAAGAAAATGTAAGTTTTTTATTTCTATTATTTAAGACATAATAAATAAAATATAACCAATAGAAGGCTGTAAATTTAAGATTAATTACCAATAAACATTAATAAGAGTAAATTTTTTAAATAATATTATAATGAAAATAATTTTTCTTGAACCTTTGTCATTAAATCTATCTAATAAATACAGTTCATAAAATAATATCTGAAAAATAAGAGTTGTACAAACATAAAAGCATAAATACAAATTATACACATTTTCTGTTACCAACATAAACATAAATAAAAACTGAAAATGCTCCTTAAGAGTGATATTAAAGATTATTTTACTTATTATTTTTAGATTTCTACAATATTAAATTAGGGCAGAACTTCAATTTTAATCGTACAAGATGCATTTAATTGTTTAATTTAATTATTATTTAATTAACCTTAAAAAATCGGTGTTTCCAAACTTATTAAATGCCCTGTATATATACATTCACACAAATGTATACTTGTATTTGTATTAATAATTCGTCATATTTTACTAAATTAAGTATGTGTTAACGTCAATTTCAATTTGGCTAGCTTTTTCTACATGAAAATGAATGAAGTAGACTAAAATAATTAAGTAAATTATAAAGTATATTTATGTAGAATAATATTTTTAAATTAAAAATTATAAAAAAATAATTAATTATGACGTTTATTTTATATATATATATTCACCTATTCAATAAGCAATAAGCAATTTGTCAATAGTTATTCAGAATATAACACAAGTAAAAAAACGACGAATCAAAATGAAGGTGAGTAATTCACTTTATATGAATTACTCGATTAAATTTAAAAGGTTATTTTATTTTTGTTTAGCATTGGCAATTAATACATTTTTTGATAATAATTACCTGTTTGATATTTAATGAAGGTAAATTCGATTTAACATTATTTATACATATTAAGTTAATCAAATATATTTCTAAATTGGTATAGAATATCTGAAATACATTCTAAAGATAATTTTGTTCAGTTAACCCTTAATAAGTAGGTTTCATTGTTTTGAAAACTTCCATACATTTAGAAAAAAAATTGGATTTTCAAGTAACAGTAGACTTGACAATAGTGAAATAAATTATTGTAATATTTATCAAATTACCAAGGTAGGTTGCATTACCCCTGTCTTCCCTTGTCAAATAGATGTTTTCTTAAATTTTTTTCGTTTATCTCTTTACTATATTGACTTACTAATAATGTTTATATTAAATTGTAAATTTTTTTTTGATATTTGACATTGAATAATAAAAAAAACAGGAATCTCTAAAAATCCAAATTATACACGTCACGAAGTTCTAGTATAAAAAATTTTTTATGCGTTATTACTTGTAATTTTTGATAATTTAAAAAGTATTTTTGTTAATTTTTTTGATAATGAAATACATTTTCGACACTATTAGCTCTAATTCAGTAAAACATTTTTTAACAAATTATTCTATATTTACTTTAAATAGTAAATAGAATGTATTATATGTATGAAAAAAAAATTGCTTCACTTTTCATAATCTACTACATAATCTAACACTTCGAACAAATTCGGTGGAATACACATTTTGTATACTTGACGGTAATAATGCACGTTAGATTTCTGAGACGACTTAATGTTATGATAAACATAAATACATTTACATTTCGAAGGAAACACATCAGTTGAGACTAGGAAAACAATATAATGCATAGGTGACGGAATAATGATGAATGCGAAAAAGATTTCGGGAATTAAGTTATGGACACACACTAGTCATAAGCTTTGCGAAGTTAAAAGGATAAGATTTGAAATCAGTGCAAAAACTTGGTTAAGTAAAATATATTTTGGTCTGAGCTGATTAAAAAAATGTTTCAAAAAAAAAAAAAAATTTTTTTTGTAGTTTCATTTTTAAAATTAAGGGATTTTTTTAAATATTTGGTAACTCTAAATTCAATTTAATTAAAATCGTGTTCTTTTGGATAGGTATTGATAATTAAAATTGGTCCGGTGAAAGCTGAGAATTTTTCTTATTTTTGCATGGAAACTAAAAAAAAAAATAAAACCCAGCACAGGGGGTTCGCGGCACAGTGGTGACGTGGCATAGTTGGATCAAGTATAATGATATCTGACAGTGATTAAAATCACTGTCAAAAATAAACGCTTCAATGCAAATCTTTAGATAGTGTTTAATTTTAAAAAAATTGGTGTTTTATTCCAAAAGCTACTTGATCTGCTGGTTCCTTATTAATATCTCGATTAAGATAAAGTATGTCGAATGAAAAAGGGTTTATTAAAAAATATTATTTCTCATAAAAAAATTGTGTGGATCCATAAACTTTTCAATAAGTTATAGCATTATAGAGTTAAATATAATATAAATAATAAAATCGAGAATTTTCACACAAAAATAGCATTCGATAGCCATTTTCACCATGAAGAAAAGTCCAGAGGTCAATTTTTTTTTTTTTAAATTAAAGTACATTACATTAGCTTTAATTAATGATATATATAAAAGTGTCAGACCTTCCGGAACATTTTCAAAAGTTATGTTGAAAAAGTAAATTTGTTGTGAAAAAGTTGTCATTTCAAATCTCTCCTTGTGGGCAGGTTAAGTGTCAGATTTACAAAAAAAATATACCAAATGATAAGTAAAGACATCAAGCATCTATATAAAAAAAAATTATATTGATATGTTCATTTTTGAAAAAGTTAGAGCATTATTAAGTTAAAAATATAAAAAAAAATTATTTTACAAAAATCGTAATTTTTTATTAACTTTGATGTCAACTTTCACCACGAAGACAAGTCCAGAGGTCAAATTTTTTTTTTTCAAATTAAAGTATATTACATAAGCTTTAATTTAAGATATATATAAAAGTGTCAGACCTTCCGGAACATTTTCAAAAGTTAAGTTGAAAAAGTTAAATTTTTGTGAAAAAGTTGTCATTTTAAATCCCCCCCTGTGGGCAGGTTCTAGAGTCAAATTTATAAAATAAATATACCAAATGATAGGTAAAGACATCAATCATCTATAAAAAAAAAATTATATTGATATGTTCATTTTTGAAAAAGTTACGGCAGTTTTTAGTAAAAAAAATTAAAAAAATTTCGAAAATTAGCGATTTTTAAATTTGTAATTTTTTTGGAAGTTTCCCCCCTTAACGGGGAACGAGGGAAATTTTTTCAATTTTGAAGGGTAATGTCTTCGACTAGATACGATTTGTGATCTTTTGACGTATCGTTGAAAGAAATCCGTTCGGTGAGAGCTGAGAAAAAGTGGTAACAGACACAAAAAAACACATCATAGTAAAACCAATACCTTCTCAGCTTCGCATCAAAGCTAAAACAATCGAAGTGTTAAAAATATATACTTAATTAAGTGTATTAGAAAAATTTATTTTAATTGTAAAAATCCATTGCTAAATTCAGGTGAAACTCCAAAACATTTCATTTAGAAATAATTTATATAGTAACATGTTACCAAACAATTTGGAATATTATAAAATGGCAGAAATAATTAAATAATTTTAGTATAAATAAAAATACTATGATAAATATTAATTTATCATATATTATATTTATCATATATTTTGACACGCAGTTGGTTCAGTGGTAAGAATAATATAATAAAAAGCAGTCGATGCTAAAGTTTGTGGTTGACATGTTGAATCGTTTATGTTAACAATTCTACAATATTTTTTTAATGTTATAAAAAAAAGAAAAATTGAGCGTATAACAAAGAAAATTGAAACTAGATAATAAAGTAAGGTGGTATCACTGTCGTTTATGCGTCGAGGCGTTGAAAGGTCGCATGAACCTAAGTGGTTTTCGTGGTATCACAAAGATGACTGATAAACCTATTAATGTGGTGGGTATTCGACGCTAGAAATTTGTTGAACTTTACACCACGACGATAACGCGTGAGTGTAACGGTCCGGTGTAGAGTGGTGCAGTGGCTTTGAAGGAGCAGCAAGACTGTAGAGATGGAAAGTTTAGTTCATTTCTGTGAATAGTTCATTAGTTCATAGTTCATTCAAGTGAATAGTTCAAATGAACTATTCTTAAGTTCACTAATTTTATTGATCATGCTGATATTGTTTGGCAATGAACTATTCATTTTATCAATATTAGTATAGCAGTACACAGTTCAGTTGTAGTTCACACTACTTATGGGCGATTAAGTTATAAACTAACCCTTAACCTGAACATCATAAACTAAGAAAAAATTATTATCAATACCCTCATGGCTCATGTTATCATTATCACCTAATGCAAGGTAGATATACCAGTAGTCCTAAGTTAAATCAGAAATCTGATCTAATATTTGTACATAGTATGAATTTATTTTATTGTTAAACAGTTAAAAACCGTGTAACATTTTAACAATATAATTTATTTGTTATCTATTTGTAAACAGCTATTAACCATTTACAGTATTTCGAACAACGAACCACAGAGAATTTTTAAAGAAGTTCGCGAAATATTTCATTTATACATTGCTACCAATTTTTTTCGTACTGTGAACTGTTAAGTTACAGATACTGAAACAGTTCAGAATAGTTCATCTAAGTGAATAGTTCAAATGAACTATTCGTTCACGAACTTAACATCTCTACAAGACTGTACGGTGTCACACGGGTGACAACGCTGTGGCCGTGTCAATTTAAAAGACGCAGTATTTCCGGAACATTTTCAAAAGTTAAGTATAAAAAGTTGTCTGGTGAAGTTATTCATTATTCTAATATGAAAAGGAAGATTTTTAATGTGATTTTTTGGAGTGGTAGAGTAGAACAAAACCAAGCTGTTTCATGTATAGATTTAGTTAGGAGATTTACAGCTTCATCTTTCTCGTTGACTGAATTTAAGCTAAGTTTATGATTGATTTGGTTTTCAAGGGTAAATCTGAATTTGTTCCAGTCCATTTAGCTTTGGATAAGGCTGGGTTATTTTGGTTATTTTGGTTAATTCGATTATTTATTATTTATTAGTATCAATAGTTAGTAAGACTTATGATTTTTCAGAGCATATATCGTTTAAATTAGTTATCAAGGTGTATAGACTATTTGGTATTTTAGACTCAAAAAAATCAAAAATTTCTAGTATTTTTCTGGTTGAGGTAGGCCATTAAATGAATGAGTGAGGAGTATGCAACAATAACGTGATTTGCCACTTGCATAACGACTAGCTATAGTAGCAAGGTCGCTACCACCTAGGCGTGGTGTTACACCTATCAGATATGATTACCAGACTATTGGTGGAATTTAATTTTAAATTAATTAATAGTTTAATTTAAGTTAATATATCATTATATGTATAAATAATTATAACACCTCGTGGTTTATTAACTACAACTATGATAATTGAAGTTGTAAGTGGTTGATATGGAAAACATACCGTAGCCCGTGTCTAGATTAAGGAACATGGATAAAGTACACGCGAGTACTTAAGTTACTCGTGCAATAAAATAAATATTACAGTTAAAATTAATAAGGAAATTTAATTTAATTGTTAAAAAACCCAGCACAAACAGGTGGCGGCATAGTTGGGTCCAGTATTTAATAGTAGATTAAAATCACTATCATAAAAAACGCTTCGATCAAATTTGTAGATAGTGTTTAATTTTAAAAAAATAATGGATTATTCCAAAAGCTACATGATCTCTTATTTCATTATTAATATTCTGATTACAAGTTTTATGATTTAATATTTTATGTGTAATATATGAATAAATAAATAAATATATATATATTAATAATATATAAATATAAATAATACTTATCTTAAAAAAAATATAATGATTCATACATTTTCAAAAAGTTATAGCATTATAAAATAAAAAATATAAAAAGAATTTTTTTACAAAAATCGTATTTTTTTATTAACTTTGATGTCTGTTTTCACCATTA